AGGTAATATAGCTAGTTAAAGCTGAATTCTTATATAATAATAGTAGATATACTATTATTAGTATGTTACTATTTGAGGCCCTTATAGGTTACTACCTTTAAATAATTAATTACTACCTACTAGGCGTTAAAATTAGAACCTAAAGGGTTGATAAAAGGCTTAAGAAGTTAATAGAGGTTTACTAAAAGATAGCTGAGAATTAGTAATATATAATAGAAGTATAAGCTAAAAACGTAAATACTAAAAGGAAGGCGTAATTATATAAGGTTAGAGATATTATAGGGCTTTTAATGAAGAACTTCTACTTTATAAAGGGTTAGTAAAAACTTACTCTGTAATTTATTCCTATACTAATTATAGAGGTTGTAGGCCCTAACGCCTATAGAGTGTAGCTCTTAGAAAAATATAATAAGGTGTATAACGTCTTCTTAGTTGCTTTACTAGAACTATGGTATAGCTGAAAGCTTACTGAAGGATAGCTTTTAGACTTAGAAGAGGACCTTAAAGAATAGGAAGTTAAAGATATTATATTATAAAGGGATATGCTAGTAAGCCCCCTATATTTAGTTAAGTAGAAAGGCTAGCTAGTGGAATATAACACCTAGAAGCTTAAAGAATACTTAGTAAATATTTTATAAATCCTCATAAGATTTAAGAAGTAATAATATAAATTATATTATAAGTAGGATGATAAGTAGTATAGAGAAATAAGGAAAAGTTAATTAACTATAGAAAGACTCTAAAGAAAACTACTCTTAAAAATAATATATAAACTTAGGGGTATCTAACTAAAAACTCTAAAGAAAAGCTATTATATGTTCGCTAAAGATCTATTAAAAACTACTAAGAATTATCCTCTAAGTTACTTAAATCCTTACTAATGCTATTACTATTAGGACTAATATCTATATTATTCTCACTATTACTGCTCTTACTTTCTGATAACTTGTCCTCCTCTCTAGAGCTAATAAGATTTTTATGAATACTTATAGAGGAGGTGCTAATATCTTTATGAGTATTAGGTTGGGGAGTAGGGCTAGAGCTAATATATTTGAGGATTATAACTAGGGTGCGTTTATAAGAATTGCGAAGTATTTAAGAAGCTTAAACCTTAGAGGGATCCTAAGTAGGCAGGCTAGATATATAAGGGTTATTACTTAAGAGATACTTCTCTAGGATATTATTAAGCTTATTGAGGAACTAAGCTTAGTTAAAGATATAGTTTTTATCTTAGAGGTACTAGGGTAGGGTATTCTTAAGCTGAAGATAAGTTTACTTAATAAGGTCCTTATCCTTCTTTTAGCGAGTATTCTGTAAAGAAACTATTAACTGTTAAAGAAAAACCTAATCTAAGAGATTATATACCTTAAGCTGGATCTTAAGATACGCCTAGGCGTAGTTAGTAGTAGTCTCCTTAGCGTTTATCTATAGTAGTTAGTTATTATACTACTTAGAGTTAGGCTGAAGCTTAGTAGGGTTTATTAACTATTTATAGAGTAATAGGAGAAGCGCCTAACTATTTATGATTATAGTGTATATACGGTAGATCTTATACTAATAATGCTTACTAGCTTTAATTTAGGCGGTGTGGCGCTTCACTTAGTTCTAAAAGATTTAAGTACTATTAACTAAGTAGTTAGGGATCTAGTTATACTAATAGTTAGTCTAATACTTTAGTGAAGGGTTACTAAACACTTACTTTATAATATTTAATACTATGTGAATAATATATCTAGTAGGTAGTATTACCTGTGTTAGTATAAGTATATACCACTCTAGTAGTCTAGTAGAGCTATAGGGCGTAAGAGATATAAGGCTTACTACTGCCTGATTAGTTATGTTAGTAGGTACTACTGTTCTTTACTGAGTTGTTAGGCTTATATAACGCTAGAATGTGGGCGATTAAGGTCTTAGTACTTATAATAATTAGATATAAAAGTGGTGTTAGAAGGGGAAAGCTCTATAAAGGCTTAATAAAGCTTTGCGAAATATAAAAGTTGTTATAATATGATGTAATAAGGAGGAAGAAAAAAAACTAACCTTAGGTGGGAAAAAAGGTATTACTTTATAGATAGATATAAGGTATTATTAAATAGTTAGGGAGGTAGCTATAACTTTAGATAAAAAGAATAGTAGTTATTTACTATAGTAAATACTACTAAAGGTGAGAAGGTAAGTATAATAAATTAATAATAGTAGTTACTATTTAACGTTCTAAATAGCCTTATAACGCACTTATTTTAAAAGGGGGATAAATAGGATAAAAAAATGAAGTTATTATAAGGCTATTATTTAGAGAGGGCTTACTAAGTAAAGAACAAAACGTCTATAAATAAAGAATATAAAACCTACTGAAGATAATTTCTTTTTTTAAGGAATAAGAGAGACCCCTAATGAAATCCTATTTAGTAGATAATAATAGCACTAAGGGATGAGGAAGCTTTAGTAAATATGCAGCAGATAATTGCTATATAGATGATAGAGATAACCTATAATAATAATAGCAACTATAAAAAAGCTTACTATAGATAATAGAGGTTTTTGCTTACTACTAGTCCTATTCTATAGTGGGGACTACTATGATTAGAAGGGGGATAATTATAAGGGTCTGGCTACTTAGACTAGAAGGGCTTAGGGATAGTTTAGCTAGACTAAGCTGAAAGGATAGAGAACCCTGTGGAGATAGGGTATAGAACCCTCTATAGCGAGGACTTAGTGAGTACTTACTGAAGAGTTAGAAAAGAAGATCTTAAAAGAAGTAAGCAAAAGTAGTATAGTAATACTATACCTACCTTTTAGGTGCTTCTTCTATTAGTTTGACCTAACTATAGCCTGTAGCCCCTAAATACCTTTACACTAGGGTTCTTAGATATATATCTAAAGTAGTTATATTATATTTAGATTATCTAGAGTTATTATCTCTTAGGTAGTATCCTAATATTTCTTTATTTTTAAGGTAGATTTAATAGTTATTATTATAATATCTAGTTTAGGACTAAGATATATATAAGGTTTTTATAATAGTATTAACTTATTAAGGTTATTTAGTTACTAGTTTCTAGGGAAGCTTTTTAAGCTATTTATAGTCTCTAGTAATATATCCTTATTTATTATAGTTATAATACTTAAAGTTCTAAGGCTTTTTATTATTAGGTTTAGTTATTATACTAAGATCTATAGGTCTACTATACTATCTATAGGTAGTATTCTAGTAAGTGTTATTCTAGTTATTATAAGGTTTACTATTATTCTATTAGAGGTTAAACTTCTAATAGGGCTACTATTAGTACTTATATCTAAAGTTAGGTCCTTATTATTTCTCACTTTTTTCCTTATAGCGTTTAAAAAGTTAATTATTAATCTTAATAGTAAGGTTAGTATATTAGAGAAAGTCTTTAGGGTGATTAATCTTAATAATCTTATCTTTAACTTTATCCTTAAGTCCTTAATAGAATATAAAGATCTTAGTTTCTTTAGTAAGGTTAAGTTAGATACTAAGTTATCTAAATATAGTAGTATATTTTTTAGTTAACTTTATTTATTATAGTTATATAAGGTCTCTTTTAGTTTATTATTTCTTATTAGGGTTTTAGAAGAGAGAGTAGAAAGTATCTTTAAATCCCTTAAAGCTACTATAGATATTATAAGTCTTAGTAGAATATTTATCTAAAGTTTTATATTTAAGAAATTCTTCCTAAATAGGTTTAAACTACTTAAAAGCTTATCCTTATAAATAAGTAGTAGTATAAATAACTTTCTTAGTTTAGTTAATAAAGTCTCTATAGTAGAAGTTTTAGTAGTTCTTAATTTAGATTAGGAATAACTTAAGTTATCTAGGGGTACTATTATAAGTAATTAAGGTACTAAGTTTAAGTTTCTATTATCCTCTAATTAGGGTAGTAATAATATTAGTAGTAGCCTAGAAAGTATTAAGTTCTTTTTAAAATTCTTAGACCTTTTTAAGGTTAATATCTCCTCTAATATCTTTTTCTAGTTTTTTAAAAGCTACTATAGTATTCTAAAGTTATCTATTAAGGTTTTTAATAATTTATTTACTTTTATTTATAAATATCTATATTTCTTTAGATTTAGCTTCTTATTTTTAGATAATATATTAAAGTTTTTTATAACTTTCCTTAGTAAATAAGCCTTCTCTATTAAAGTTATACTTAAGGTTTAGTATATTATAATCTTTAACGCTAATAAGTTCCTATATTAGACTCTAAAACTAGTTATATAAGGAAAATAAAGATCCTAAAATAGAGGATTTAGCTAAAGTATAAGAAGATATACTTATTATTTTACTATTAATAAGTATTAATAATTAACTTACTAAATAGGAGTAATTAAAGTATTATAGTTAGCTATCTAATAATAAGGTCTACTAATAGAAGCTAAGGATTAATATATTATAATAGTATACTAAAGTTATAGTTTTAAGTTATAAGTTATAAGCTAATAGTAGATTAAGTCTTTAGAAACTAAAGTAATTAGTCTTAAACTTAATAAGTAATTTATAATAAAAATAAGCTAAAAATATTTATAAGGATAAATATTAAGTTAATTACTAAAGAGCTATAAAAGTCTAACTATAAACTAAGTTTAAGGTTATACTATATATAAGTCCTAAATAGTATTCTTTATCTACTTAAAAGTAATTACCTAAGTATATAAGGTAATTATAATTAGTTAGTATAGCTAACTAATTACTAAGTATTCCTTCCTATACTCTACTAATCGTTTCCTTATCTTATTATTATATAACTTATACTATAGTTCTTCTATACTAAGTAAGTCCCTACTATTCCTATAATCCTATAGTATAAATATCCTATCCTAGCTGCTTGACGCCTAAGTAGGTCGGTCGACTGTTATCTATGCATAACAGGTCGTAACAGTATGCTGCGCTAGACGTGTCGAGGGAGTCTGAGGTAGAGAAAGCCGTCGCTCACTTGGACAGCTGGGGTGGTCTAGACGTCATCTTCAACAACGCAGGCATCATGCATCCAAAGGATGGTGACGCCGAAGAGGGCCCTGCTGACATCTGGGATAAGACGTTTGACATCAATGTTAAGGGCGTCTGGTATGGAAGCAAACACGCCGTCAGATCTCTGCGCAAGCATGGCAAGAAGAAGGGCAGTATCATCAACACTGCCAGCATGGTTTCCATTGTCGGATCAGCAACTCCCTAAGTGGCATACACTGCTAGCAAGGGTGCTGTTATGGCTTTCACAAGAGAGATGGCTATTGTGCACGCCAGAGAAGGTGAGTACTGCGACCCCTGCACCAAGTGATGCTATCGCCGACTAATCCTACTCCTATCCACAGGCTTCCGCTTTAATACCATTTGCCCAGCACCTCTGAAGTAAGCATTATGACACGCATAGTCCGGCCTTTTGTTGATAATTCTAATACGGCACAGTACACCGATGCTTCAGGATTTTCTGGGCAACGACGAAGATCAGCGATTCAGACGAGAGATTCACTTCCCAACGGGCCGATTCGGAGAGGCTATTGAGCAAGCACAAGCTGCTGTCTTCCTCGCCAGTGACGAGAGCAGTTTTGTCAACGCTCATGACCTGGTTGTGGATGGTGGGCTCACAAAGGCCTACGTGACACCCGATGGACCTCCCACCGAGCCCCCTCGGAACTTGGGAAAGCAATAGGAGAGTTCACTGTGGTCAGGTCCGTCGTTTGTGCGATGGACACGTTGATGATAACACCAGCGAGCAAATGCAGAAAGCTTCAGCTCCGATGTTAGCCGCTGGGGCTGAAGAGTCTAGGTGTTACGGACGTACGTGATGTAGTCTCGAATAGTAGGCCAATTCCAGGTGCGCTTGGTGTTCGACATAAGCGTTAATATTAGGTTGAAGCTTTCCACGTGGATGAAATGAGGCTATGAGCGTTGATCGGTCGAGCCGACTTTATTCTGTCTTAAACTCAACCTCGATCAACGCTAATTGACGTGGCACGCGCCGTTCTTACTTCCCGCCGTTTGGTCACCCGCCGAGCCTGGCCTGGCTCTCAATCAGCCTAACCGTGTGACATCGCGTGCAGGAAATCCCCCGAGGGCCAGAATTCCAGATCTGCTCCTTTTCTCGGGGTGAACCCTTCTGCGGCATTATGGTGTTCCGAGAACACCGTGCCAACTTTCTTGTACACCAAGACTCGAGACTCGAGACCCGACGGGTAGTCGCATATATCACAGGCACTACTGACGCGTCAAGTGCGCGCCCATGCCGAGGATATTGGGGGTGAACAGCGATCCAATTACTAATGCTGTGACCAAGGGCGAAATGTTGCCTGTGGATAGCACCTGTCCAAATCCAATAGCAGCAATTTTTAGAGTGTGATACTCTAGTGCATCTTCTTGGCGGGATTCTCCTCTCTGATTCGGTTGATTTGCGAGTCAATATGGCTCGAAATGGGCTAGAAGAGTAAGCTGTGCCCCAGTGCTACGTCAATCCAATGATTCGAGGCTAAACATTTATGTTCCTCGCTGTGGCTCGAGGATATTGAGTGGTGAGACATCCAATCAACGGCCCTGGTCAAGCGACTTTGCACCAATCCCCATGCAGCTGAAGGCGGGCATCCACTGGCATGCGTCTTACACACCACCTCAGGACTATTACATACTCACTGGCTCACGCACACTGGATGAAAAATAGGGACTTGTGAATGAGATGTCCGGGCGGAGTAAAAAGACTTGAGGGCGGCAGTGTGGCATCTGTGATGAAGCATCAGTCCTCACGTCTTTTGAGCGATCAGGGGACGGAATCTTGCCGTCCGGTCTGCGCGTAGGTGATAGTGTCTTGGAAAGGCCCACTTCACCACAGCCGGGCATATCCATGATGCATGCATGGGGGGTTCCAGGCTGGCCAGGCTGCAGCTTTTGCGTTTCTGTACGCTCATAGGGCGAACTGGTACGAGTCCCAAAAAGGAAGCCCAAGTCACCAGCGGAGTTGGACCCTCTCCGTCGGAGCATGGGAAGTTTCTGTGTCGCATGTTCTGGAAGCGGATGAAATGGTCATGTCTTACTAGTAAATATCAGCTGTCCTACGTCCTTGTGAAACGAAATGTCGCCCGAAAGGTTCGCCGGACTGGGTGCGATCTTATCATTCACGATAGAATGATGACTGGGCGAAAATAGTCTCTCGGTTCGTGACCCGGGGAATCGTCCCTTGCGTCTAGCTCGAGGAACGAAGTGTGGTGTGTATGCCTTGCTTCCATCCCACCCCCTTGATGCAGGTCTTGATCTGCAGAGCCCATCTGTCATCACCCGCACGGCGCAGTCGGCTACACCCACAATCCTTCGATTCAGCCCGTCATCTTATAGCTCGGAAGACGATGCTGATACTCCACTGTCGTGACATCGGTCCCTCCATCTTGGGACCCGGGTTACCGTAGGTTTAAGGAACACTCGTCGTTCTAATCTGGGATTCACACGACCATCCATTCTAGGCGCGGCCAAAGTTTACTCAAGTGCATGATCACAAAGATCCATTTTACTGACATGCATGCACCGCGCCTAACACTGTTTAGTACTTACGAGAGGGGGCTACACAACCTGACAGGGAAGTGAGGATGCATCTTGAATTACTGTATGGAAACTTCAAGACTGGTCTATCTCATCCAACCAACCATAACATGATACGTTATGGCAAAGGCGTGACCGTGTCACTTTTTACAGACACAATCGGCCCCGGATGGCCCGGTTCGTCCTACGATGCAACCCCTTAGGCAGTGAATTTGGTTCTTTTGAGCAGTGAGGGGGGTGAAGACATTTTACGAGCTACCTAGGTATGCAACATCTGCCGCCGAAGGCGTTCGGACGATTAGCGGAAGGATTCCTCTCTGGCATGCAGCTAAAGCCGTGTTGCCACCTCATATCGTTCTTCATATAACCTGGGGAATCTTGGGCACCCAATTGTGCGGGTTCTCCCTTGACTCCCTACTCTACTCAGTACCCGTCCTTTCCTCTTCGGTGCGATTTCTCACCTCACGCAGACACTTCTTAACGCACCTCATCTAGTATGGAAAGCATCACAGACGTTTACCCTGAGTATAGCCAGACTTCACGGCTAGATGAAGTGCGGGCGACCGAATATGGCTACCTCGACGAGCAGGGCCACCTCTACCTTGACTTCACCGGCGCTGGGCTGGCTGCGAAGTCCCAAGTTCGAGCACACGAGAAACGACTAGGGCAAACACTCTTCGGCAATCCTCACTCAACGAATCCTACAAGCCAGTCTGCCACGCGACTGATCGAAGAAGCTAGAGCTCGAGTGTTGGACTACCTCAACGCTTCGTCCAAAGAATACACAGCCATCTTCACCCCCAATGCGACCGGTGCCGCGCGTCTCGTCGCAGAATCATACCCATTCAAGAGAGGAACAAAGCTGGTGTTGACGTCCGACAACCACAACTCCGTCAACGGCCTCCGAGAATACGCCGGCCGAAACCACGCGCGAACGGTCTACGTGCCGGTCCGAGCCCCGGAGCTGCGGGTCGACCCATCGGACCTCATGTTAGCACTCAGCTGTCGCAAGGGAGGCTTGTTCTCCTGTGGATCGGCACGCACGCGGCGCAGTGGCTTGTTTGCCTATCCAGCCCAGAGCAACTTCAGTGGCGTTCGACACCCGCTCTCCTGGGTTCAGGTCGCACAGGAACAGGGATATGACGTACTACTGGATGCCGCGGCGTATTTGCCGACGTCCCGACTCAATCTATCAGATACTGGCGTCAAGCCAGAGTTTGTGATTGTCAGCTGGTACAAGCTGTTTGGGTACCCCACCGGCGTTGGCTGTCTCGTCGTCCGACGCGATGCATTGGCTCGGCTGGCCAACTCGCGGCCTTGGTTTTCCGGCGGCACAATCACCGCTGCTACTGTTGGTGTTCCTTGGCACACCATTGCCCCTGACGAAGCAGGCTTTGAGGACGGTACCCTAAACTTCTTATCGATACCTGACGTTCAGGTTGGCCTGGATTGGTTGGATGATATTGGGATGTTTCTCATCGACACAAGGGTCAGGTGCCTGACTGGATGGTGCCTTGATCGGCTGCAGAGGATGGAGCACGGCGACGGTTCACCAATGGCTAGGATATATGGGCCAACAAACATGGAATTCAGAGGAGGCACCATCTGCTTTAATTTCCTCGACATCTCCGGAAAAGTGGTTGATGAAAGACTCGTAGCAAAGGAGTCTGCAGCAGAGAAGATTTCACTTAGAACGGGATGCTTCTGCAATCCAGGGGCGGGTGAGGCGGCGTTTGGTCTGGAAAAGGCAGCTTTGGTGTCCCTCAGCAAGGTTTACAGCAAGTCGTGGGACACATACATACGGATGATCGCCCCTGTTGGTGCTGTCAGGATCTCGTTTGGCTTCATGTCAACCGCTGCGGACGTGGAGCGTTTCATTGTTTTTGCCCAAAGTACTTACCGCGATAGGCTTACAAGCACTGAAGGTCTTCCACCACACGAACATTGTTGACGGGGTAGATGGTATATACATAAAAAGACAGGATTCACCCGCTTAACCGCAAAAAGGCTTAGACTCGCCCCAGCCAACAAAACCAACGAACCAACGCACCAACAGGTGCGATGTGCTCCCCGCAGGCTGCGATCTCATGTTTGCCTGCCCCGTCCCGGCCCTTCCCAACATGCATAACGGCAAGGTGAGTTATCTAATCCCGGCCAAAGAACAAGGGGTCATTGCCAACACGCGCCGAGACGAAAACAATTTTTGCCCTTTCCAACGGCGCAGCAACCCGTCTCGTCGATAGCTCCGAGATGTATGCAAGCCACCAATGCCGCCAGCCGCATTCTCTGCACCTTTTACTACTTGGGGCCAATAATTGAAGAGATTTAAGGCGCGGTTTCGCGTGGCAAAGGTGGTGTTCGTCACCCAGAAACGGTGAGATTGGCCACTTCCTCGGTGTGATATCGATTCCAACCAATCCCATCTCACCGAGGGATAGTCTGATTGGAGAAAGGGTTTTCCTAATTCGGAATACCTTACGCCCGCCCCGGACGTCGTCGGGATCGGCTGTACTCGAGCCTCATCACTCGACCCGAAGGCGTCTGCGGGAGGCGCAACGGCTTACATTGGGTGGTAGCATTACTCATGCGGATAAACCACTCTTTTCCATGGCTTTGGGACGCGGTTTGAGATTTCCATTTAAACTGCCCATATCCCCCCTGGTCATCTGACATGTCGACTCTGCAGCTTACCTTTCATTCAACCAAGTTTTCGTCCACCTCGACAAATTTCCGCTGCAATGAGCTACTCAAAGCATCCGTGGCAGTATGTTGTCATAACCTTGACCGGCGCTGCTGCAGTGCTACCATCTCTGCACATGACCCCCTGGCAGTCGGTTGCACAAGGCCTCCTCGCTTGCCTAGCAGTGTCGTATTGCGCGATAGCGGCATACAGCTTGTTCATCTACCCTTACTACGTATCACCACTAAGGCATCTTCCCGGTCCAACGGTACTTATATTCATTCTTTTCCAAGCTCTTCTGATCTGATTGCTCTGTAGGATCACCACTTCCTATTGGGCCACACTGTCAAGCAGTTTCTGTCGGGCGATCCAAGGGAACCTTATGTCAAATGGTTGAAGATATGGCCTAAGGAACCCTTCATCCGCTTCATGGGCTTTGGCAACTCGGAGTCGCTACTTGTCACGTCACTCGGTGCTTTCAAAGAGATCTACCTTCCGAAATCATACACCTACATCAAGCCAGAGTTTAGCAAAAGGCTCATGGCCCCAGTATTGGGCTATGGACTGATCTTTCAAGAAGGAGACGAAGCAAGAACACAGAGGAAACTGATAAGCGGTATGCTTTATCGTTGTGTTTGAGTGATCCAAAAAAGCACGCTAATGGGATCACCAGCGCTATTCGGTCTGACCAGCATCAAGCGCACCATCCCAACCTTCCAAAAGAAGGCCAAGCGTATATGTCAATTGTTTGATCAGAAGATTGAAAACGAAAACGGACTTGTCAATGGTGAGGCTTTTCTCAACCTGTAAAATCCGGCGGCAGTTTTGCAACCATTTCAAGCCCAACGTTCGAAAAAGCCTCACTCGCTTACTGACTCTTGCTGCCAATTAGTCTCCTCTGCATGGTCCAGTGTAGCACTAGACGTTATCAGCGAGTTTACCTTGGGGATAGATCTTCAGACAACTCTAACACCATCGGTTTTCCACGAGTCTTACAACCAGTGCTTTGACCCTTCCACGTTCGGCTGCATTCTGATCGCCATTTACGCAATCTTTCCTGCCATCCGCTCGTTTCCGCTGGAAGAAAATCGCAAATACAAAGCTGCAAACGCCTTGGTCCGCTCCGAGATTCGGAAGCTAATACAAATGAGGGAGGCCGAGCTTGCTGAGAAACCACTCAACTCAGAGGACACACCCAATGTCCTTACACATATGCTCTTGGAGTCGAAGGCTATGGGCCATCCCTTGTCGGAAGATCAGATCCTGCAGAATATCCTCAATTTCTTCGCCGCCGGCCATGAGACGTCTGCTACAACGATGGTCTGGTGTACTCATATGTTGACGCGTCACCCAGACATCCAGGAGAAGGTTCGAAAGGAGGTTAGTGAGCTCATCAATCGAAAGCCAAATCCCGATTACTACGACCTAGAGAGCCTTCACTACACCGACAATGTTCTGAAGGAGACTCTTCGACTCTGCTCCCCTGGGATTGTTGCAGCCAGGGAGCCTGTTCATGACGTGGAGATCTGCGGGACCATTGTGCCAAAGGGTACGCCACTGGTGTTGATGCCAACGATCGTTAATCGCAACCCTATGATTTGGGGCGAGGACGCCGACGAGTTCAGGCCTGCGAGATGGGACAGCCTGGCGGGGGAGGCTTCGGATCCTCATGCCATGACTAGCTTTCTGATGGGTCCACGATCCTGCATTGGGAGAGCTTTTGCAATGTTAGAGATGAAGATGATTCTGGTCGAGGTGATGTCCAAGTTCAAACTCGAGCCGGCTGTTGAAGAGAAGGATATTGTTCTGGTGAACCCCAGCCCCGCTTTACGTGTCAAGGGAGGTCTAAAGGTAAACGTTTCTCGGTTGTGAAGGTAGATAGGCTCGATGTAATATTTTTTGAAGGTCACAATGACGTGATGATTTGTTGGCGTGGTAGATACAGGCATTGTGGGCTTTCCAGGGATGTGTGAGCTACATCTACTGTTTCTTACAAATAGCAACGATCGCTTTCATAGTAACACCGACACAACTCTCGCCGTTTCTGTTCAGTGAAACAGTAACGTCTCTCAGTATCGACGGCACCATATCCATAGCTTTTCTCTTATCTTCATCGCTCCAGTCCTTGAACACGGCGGGGCCAAACATCTGGACGATTGATGAAGAGACCTCCTCTAAACTCTTCGCGCCCCAGTGAACAATCATTTCCTGAAGGTCAACCTCTTCAAACCCACCAGATCTCAAGACGTCTTCCGTATGAGAGGGTTTGAACCACTCAGGCTTGATAGGCACGCTGAACGGCTCCTCTTCGGGACGTATCTCGCGCTGGAGCTTCCAGAGGACGGGAAGATATCCGAGCTCCTCCCAATTGGTGACAACAGCAATTCCACCCAGCTTCAGTGTACGCCAAATCTCCGATGCTCCCTTCTTGGCGTCATCGAAGAACAAGAATCCGAGGTTGGTGACCGAGTGGGTGAAAGTCTCGTCGCTAAAGTTCAAATCTTCGCCAGGCATGACACCTGTCCGTACTTTGTCGTTATCCGGGAACCTGGCATCCACGAGCTCAACCATCTTGGACGCTCCGTCGACTGCGTGAACTACGGGCCCTTTCCTACTTTTGAACTTCTGCATGATAACATCGGTGACAATACCAGTGCCGCATGCGTTGTCGAGAACCACGGAGTCGTTGTTGATATTGAGTAACGGGACGAGCCTCTCGGCGAGCTCTCTTGTGCAGCCACCAGTGCTTTTCTCATAGGACTCAGCTACCGCGTTGAAGTGGTCCAAAGCAGTTTTGTTGTCGTCCGCCATCTTCGAGATTATGAAAACGGCTGGACGAGTCGAGAAAGCGTGGATGAAAATGAGCCTAAGCAAAGGATCCAAAGATCACGGAGTATGAAGCTGAGGGTTGCCTGTAGCTGAATAAGAACGTCGTCGTCATTATAAGTTGTCGCACGGAACATTTTCGGAGACTTCATGCACGGCGAAGAGGGGCCCGGGGGTGAACCTTGATGGCACACCACCCACGCAGACGCATGTCAGATCAGACGACGTGGCATACCTTGACAAGAAAGAGATAGATTCGTCATATTGTTTGATATTTTCGCTGGAGAAAGATGCCTCTGTGATGGCGGTGGTGTTCTGCCGCTCTACGCAGTATAGCTCTCCGAAGCGGTTCGGCGGGACTCCGCCGACACCACGAATGCGGGTTCCGCCGCCGGCCTACAACCATGCACTAAGGCGCCGGTGTCCACGCGGACTCTCTCGTCGGGGGACGGACATCCATTCTTGCGAGCGGGTGCACACGTGCTATAATGATATGGTCGGGGTGTAAGTATGTTGATCTGAGAGCTCCGTGAGTTGTAGGTCTGTGGCAGTTGTTTACTTACATCCAGCGCTTGCTCTCAAAATTCTCCCAACGACTTATAGGCAAGATACCTCGTTGAAGGTACAGTACAGACATAAACGTACGGAAAATATCCAAATTTTCCCCCTCGAGTGGTTTAGTGTTAGCTATTCGTGAACCGTGACCTAGGTGATCGTGGCGCGAAATTTCTCATCAAAGGATGGTCAAGAAGCCTTTGATTACGAGGCGGAAACCCGCCCGGCTTGGAACAAAAGGCACTAGAGTATGAGAATGAGAAATCAACTTGAACAACACTTTTTAAAGGTCACATTTCTAATTCATCTTCATCAAATATCACCTCGGGGCTTGCTACTACCAACATCCTCGTCTACCACAGAGCCATCTCATATTCCCTTAGTCGCTGACAACATCCTCCTCATATCTATCCTAATAATCCACTCAAGTGCAAGAAAACAACAATCACTCAAGTTCAAAAATGCCTAGCGTTATTGAATTTCTGCAGTCTCAGCTCTTCACCGAGATCCCAGTACCTACAAAGAAATTTACCGGCCAAACTATCATCGTCACCGGTTCCAACACCGGCCTCGGCCTTGAAGCCGCACGGCACTTCGTCCTGCTAGACGCAGCCCAAGTCATTCTCGCAGTGCGAAGCATATCAAAGGGCAAGGGAGCCGCAACCCACCTTGAGGAATCTACTGGGACGAAAGGAGTCGTCGAAGTCTGGGAGCTGGACCTGACCTCTTACGCGAGTGTCCAGAATTTTGCCAAGCAGGCCCGCAGTCTTGAGCGCCTGGATGTCTTGGTCAACAACGCCGGCGTCATGACGTATGACTTCGTGTTAGCAGAGAAAGATGACAGCCTCATCACAGTCAATGCTGTGAGCCCGCTTCTCCTCAGCATACTGCTATTGCCTAAGATGAGGGAAACGTCCTTGAAGTATGACAAGGAAACTGTCGTCACCTTCGTTGGGTCGCTTGGCCATGCTAGGGTTGACTTCATTGAGAGCAAGAGTGAACATATTTTCAAAGCCTTGGCCGTGGAGAAGGCCGCTCGCATGACTGAGAGGTAAGCCGATCCTGCCACGCATGCGGGCGTTTTCAACAGACTGAAGACTTTAGGTACAACATCTCCAAGGTCATCCAGCTTCAGCTCGCTAGAGAGCTCGCGGACACCCTCACAAAGTCAGAGAAGCTGGGCAGTATCATCGTTTCAGTGGTGAACCCGGGATTATCTGACACGGAAGTCGCCCGCAATCTCGGCTGGCTTCAGGGGAAAATACTCAAAGTGGTGCTTAGCTTGGTTGGAAGAGCACCAGAGGAAGCTAGCCGTACACTTGTTCTAGCTGCTGAAGGCGGACCAGAAACGCATGGTCAATATCTTGACGATGGCAAAGTGGGCAGGTACGTTGGAGGGGCTTAGATCGCTCCTCGCAGAATACTGCTGTTGAATTCTCAACTAACTCCCAGGCCACAGACCGTCGGAATTCATAACCAGCGGTGAAGGAATCAAGGTTCAAAAGCAGCTGTGGAAAGAATTGCTTGAGAAGTTGTACGCTATTGCCCCTGGTATCGCAGGTTCACTTTGAGCCAACGTCGAACGTAGTCAAACGGTGACATTGGTTGCCTTACGCGATTTTGTATGAATTCCGGGTTAGAATAAACCCTGAAATGCAATTGAGCTCTATGTCTATCCCAAATGCGCGACAGCGTGCGTACCAACTGGCGCATGAGAGCCTCCCACCCAAGCATTCCAGTTGTTGATACCTTCTGTGCACTCTTCGGTGATTGGACGGCCTTGCACCTGGGCCACAACGTCTGCTCCTCTGTGGATGGTCACAACGACATCTCCCAGTCTACCGTTGAAGGGTGCGCTGCCGTGGTAAACACCAACGCCGCCGTTCGGTACCCCATCGTCATCCCATGACGCCTCTTGAGGCACACCGCCAATGCTTACCGTCACCGAAGCGGGTTCGGTGAGGAGTGCCGAGAACACGACCTTGTCCTCCATGATCTCCGATGGATGATGCAACTCCTGGCCGTGGCTCGGTGCGTTGCCTGTGGTACCTCCGCAGTCGCCTGCGTGGCCGGGGTGTATGCGGTACCACGTCACTACTCCCTCCCGGTTGATGGTGGCATGGCCGTTCTTGTACAAGTCGATCAGAAAAGGAAGCAGAAGCCGCCAGCCGTCGTGAGGCATATCTCTGACGTAGTTGAACGGCGCCTTGCCGTACTCGAAAGCGCCAAACTGCTTTTCGTGTAGGGGCCCAATGTAATGGGACTCGCCGAAGTCGTTCCACGAGATCTGACATTGTGATTAGAATACGTACTACCTGTCGCTGTTTCAATGGTACTCACAATTTGCACATATTCTGGTCTGATTTGAAGAATCTCGTTCCAGCGGTCATTCCACAGATCATCGCCCTTCCAAGCCCAGTTCTTGTTCCAGGTCGGGAGATTGGTGTAGAACCACGGTGAAACTGCAACCATGTACGGTCTGTTGCCCAGGAAGTGACGGTAAGAAGCATCCAAGCCGGGATCCATCTTGCGGGTGTTGCCGTGCGGCCATGCGGCCCAACTGAAGAGACCATCGGTGACACCGGTGTTCACGGCGTTCTCGGCTCCGATTGACGAGAACGAGGGCATGAAGAAACATCCGGTCGCGGCCTTGATGTCATGCCAGTCGGCAGCGTTACCAGTTCCCTCGAAAGTGGAAACGACTGGTTGCCATCCGCGCTTGAAGTACGCAGGAGAGGGTCCAAACTTTGGTAGGCGTTAGCACGCGGCGGCATGAGAGCGCTTTATTGAAATGCACTCACCCGATTCAGCAACTCAATGACTCTCTCTTTGGGCCAAGCTCCTGCTCCCTCGTAGTCGAACGACAGGAGCAGCTTGAACCCAGTCTGCTCAGCCGCGAAGAAGAACTCGGGAAGCTTCACGATCGCCTCTTCGTGGATACCAAAGTTCACCACGAAGCCATCAATATGCGCCTCTTGAGCCAGGCCGATGTCGACCTTGTACTCATCCACGGTGTACTCGCAGGTGTTACTCAACTGCTGGTGTGTCAGCAAACGCCCCTCAAAGTTTCAATCGCAGAAAGTCTGCTCACCATGAAATGCGCAAACACGGCCCGCTCGAACCCCTGAGGCGGCCCCTGCTGATACGGCGGCCGGCTGTCCGTCGGCACCGGAGGCGGTGGCGCCGGTCGGGGCTCGTCGTCGTCGCCGGTGATGGCCGCAATCTCCGCCTCGATCTTCCTCTTCGCCTTGTCGAAAAATGCCTTCATCGTCGCGTGTGTTCGGGAGAGGAGAAGTTGCCCGCGCCGAGCCGTGACGCGCGCTGCGTTTGACCGCTCCAGTTAAATTGACACGTGGAATGGCGAAGCCTCAATCTTGGCCACCGGAGAGGGTCGTTTGTAGCCCCATCTCTACGTAACCGAGCCTTAGCACGCATCCCGACTTATCCGGCCTCTTGGAGGCCTCGATGTCATTCACCATGTCGGAAAATTCGCTGGATAACAGTAGAGAAGCTCTTGGTGTTTTCCGCGGGCCTGTCTAGTTCGATGTCTCGAAGCTTAGAGACATGGAAGTGTGTGTTCAGGGCGCGAGTCATTAGGGAGGGTGCGCTGAGCCTGTCGTTCGCTGGCTGGCCACATGGATTTTACGTCATTTTTTAGGCTCTGCAACACGGACGAAGAGAGGGTGCCGAACACTACAAGGATACTGATTCAATTGCTCTAGGCCTGTGTGTGCCCATCGGGTAGGTCCCCGATTCAGTTTGAGGAAGATAAGAACATGTGGACGCGGGATTAACAATTGAAATCTAGAAATGCGAGAGCGAAACTAAGTAAATAAGGTAAAATAGGCTAAAGGCATTAGAGTGTAGGTGAAAGAAACCTTTATGTGATAGGAGATAGACGTTCTCTGACCGGGAGGGCGTTATCCTAAGCCACGGAGAAAGATCTAGTAAGCGATCGCGAAGAAAAACAAAGTTGGAACGGCAAAAAGATGTCCTCGGAGAGGCTCGAACTCTCGACCTTTGGATATCTCTGCCTGTAGACAGAGTCATATTGATAGTAATATGAGACCAACGCTCTACCGACTGAGCCACGAAGACTTCAGCCACTGTGGGGCTTGGGCGATCCCAAGGTGGAGTTGACTAAGCGGCCAGCGGACCGGAGAGCGTGTTGATTCCCGGCATCCCAAGGGAATTGGACCTGGCGTTTCTCGTGGTGTTTCGCGTCGCACACCATCACGGGCTTTGGGAGCCTCGGGATTTTTAATGGCGTTGTTTTGCAATTTGCATTCGCTCTCACATTGACACGCGGTTGGCATTGTTATGACTCAAAGGCGAGTGCATCTATAATTATGTTCATTATCTGTATGTTCGTAATCATATCGTCATAGGGGGTATTTCAAGCTTGCGGGAATCTCGTAACGTCGGCCGGTGCCGAAGACATCACAACCACCGTCGTCGTGACAGTTCCGTCCGGCCCTTGATCCTTCACTATCCGGAACTTCTCATCATCCGTCACTGCCGATGGGTTCGTGTCTGGCGTCCATGTATGTACGCTTCTTGTAACGTTGATCTCAAATTCTCGCTCGACCATGATCATCTCTGGGATTTGAATCTCCGTGTCCCAGTCTCTTCCTGCTTCTGGGTCGTGGCTGATGCTCCATAGCTTCTTGCGTGGAGTGAAGGATGTTGGCGATGTCGGGGCGTGAGAGGATAGTGTGCTTGCGTCACTCGGATGTGGCAAGAGATGGTCAATCAGAGGCTGCATCGCTGGTATGCATACAGCGATGATGACCACATCGGCCTCGAGACTTGTCCAGATGACCAGGTCAGCGGAGTCGTCTGTGGAAGACCGTCAGCAACATGATCCTTGGATAATCGATTTAGTGAAACTCACAGGTAAAGTCAGGGCTACCTAATGACTTCAATCTCGTGCATTTGAATATGGCAGTTATCAAAGCACTGAATAGGGCAAGGTTAGCAATCTAAATGTTTCTCGCATTCTCAGTTGGGCGTCCACTTACACAGCGCCCAGCACTATCGATATCAGCACTCCTAAAAGTTTCCGTCTCGCGAAATGAAGCTTGCGTATCGAGAAAGCCACATAAACTGCGAGATATGCATTTGTTGCCGCAGATATCGCTGAAATGCCACCAGGTTAGCAGTTTCTCAATATGAATTGAGCTGTTGACTTACCACTAGTTGATATTGAATATTCCACGGCCATGTCTGGTCCTAGACAAGCTTTTGTCATGAATGACATCTCAGCTTGAGACGGTGAACATTGCGTATATAATCCCAGGACGTTTCCAAGCAGTCCTAGTGAGCAGAATGCAACAAGAGCCCACAGGAACAAGCGTTGTCCCCTCTTAGGTTGAAGGAGTCGGTTCATGAGAGCGACCACGGCGATCTTCGGCAGTATCAGAGCAAAAATGCCGAAGGAGAAAGCCATGACGGTCCAGTGCAAAATCGCCTCCTTCTGATGGTCGCTCAGCGATGCGACGTGCCTCCCGTGGCCGATCGCGACGGCCTTCAATGTCGTTGCTGTCGATGTCCATCCCGATATCTGTGGTACTCAGCCAAAAATGTCCGATAACACTAGAACGAGCGTTCATACCACCGCAGCCAGAAGAATTCCGTCGTCAAAGTGCACTTTCTTTTGAATCCACCCCCGGACGAACAACCGCGACAGAGCAAACATCGTCGAAATCGCCGTCGCGGGCACGACAGACGCGACGATCACGCCGCCTATGCTGTGCGTGTCGACATCCTCGGCCGAGTCGGCGTAATCACGCGGCGGTAGCGGGAGTGGAGGTATCGAGGCACTGGTCAATGCTTTGTAAAGCAGGTGCATCATGCGTGCGGACGCAGAAGAACGATCATTGAAGATGTTGTTGTAACATGGCCTGATGTGATCGATGGCGGGTTCGGTTTGTGTTCGGCGGCTTTTCGTTACGTGCGAAGGAAGATGCAATGTCGGAGATGGCAAGAGAGGGCAGCCATAAGCAGAAGGTGAGGGGGAAGGACGACCATTATCCTCTTGGATTACGCCACTTAGTGCGGAGGGCAAAATGACAAGATGAAACCTCAAAACTTTGTTCTAGAAGGGCTCGAGTGTCGAGGTCACCGAGGTTGTGGACGCTAGAGGCTTAGCGAGAGTCAGAGAGGGAGTCTATTCCTCTCCATCTGATTTCCTGTTTGGCTCAAAGGAAACCTTGTCTGCGGTGCAGCTGATTTGCGTGCCAAGGGTATGGTTCCCTCGTCACACTCTCGACAACCGGAGCATCTGGGCCTGTGAAGGAAAGTAAAGGTCTGGGTCGTGGACGAAAACGGTATTTCCACGTACGATTTGCTCAGTCGGGTGTTCGCGTCCCAGTTATCCGGGACTGATCTTCAGCACTAAAATCGGTTCCGGACGCCACAGGGGAGATGAAAGGAAGCGAACACTACGCTGAAGCTATTTCGTAATTGTAAGTCTGGCACCACGGATCGGTGCCTCCAAGGACCTAGTGCTAGCAATATGCCCGGTCGAGCCGGTCGAGCCGGTCCTGAGACATCGCGTTAAGCCGGTAGAAGCGAGAACGTCGGTCTCCGAAACGGTCTTCAATGATCATGCAGGGCTAGCGAGGTTCCCGCTGAAGAACCAGAAAGCCTCGCATCGTCCAACAGGCAACTTTTGCAACTAGTAATTCCAACGAGATGCGGGCGCATGGGAGGCTTGACAGCCGTCCTTCCGGTTCTAAGGATGCCTAATATGAAGCCACGAATATTACTTCTCGACTTCAGAAGGACGTGCGACAGGTGTTGCTATGAGTGATGGCGTTTTCTGTAAGAATATTGATTACTATGCCTTGTCACATGACACCATTCTCAAACCAGCAGCATTGATTGATGACCTGGGCATTGCCTAGTTACGACGAAGAGTTGAAGTGCGCGAATAAGAATATTCCGAAGTATACAAACAGATTGAATTACTCACACGAGCTGTAAAATTTGACTCGAGATGCCAAATTGCGCTCACCTATACGCCTTATAGTCCAGTCGTGTCGACCTGTGTACATTCTTGCAGACCATGTAACCATCCCGCATTCTGCACCTCGTATCTGACTCTTCATTGCTGACTCTGTTAACAAAGGGCTTGTTTTTCTTTTGCGTACTTTACGCAACCGGACAAGCTGTCAATAAGGGTAGCGCCCACCGATCCGCCCTACACCGTTGGCTGACTTAGTAGTCTCTATCCATCGGAGAGAGATCCGCCCGACCTCACTGGTCGTCGTCATTCAGGGCTTGTGGCTTTCCTTTTCGGATTGTCTTCCACTCCCGTCGTCTCTATTTTCATTTGCATCAAAACTCTTGCTTACAAGCAGTCAGTATGTCCAATTGTCGAGGCAAAAGTCCGACACGATACATCGACCGGCTTTCAACAGCTCATGTCGGCGTACCTCGGCCCACTCCTCCGATGCCGGCCGGGATAGCAGCGGTAGATTAACGGGTCCTCCGATTGCACTAACAACAGCTACTTGCCTGATAAAATGTGTCATCCGAGCCTGCAGGAAAGTCCCGATAGTGCTACGGCCACTGTAGGGAGAATCTCTCCACCGTCTCCGCACTTGATAATGGTAGCGTGCCCGCGGGGAGGTGGGCGCATTGAGCACTGTTACCCCCCTTATCAGCCAGATTAAACTAAACGCTGCTGACACATTCCCCCGGACTCCACGATATCGGATCAGAAGTGACTCGCAGCCGTTAATTCTCACTCAAAGGCACGCGATATCTGACTTTCTCCACATTGGAGATCTGATCCGGAGACCTTCCCTTGCTGCTGGCTGGAACCTTCACCTTGCATTTCACAATGAGCACTCAGAGGGCCAGCACACACACGGCAAAACGCCCGCGGCTCGGCGAGCGAACGATGTTGGCTTGTATCGGCTGCAAGCAAAAGAAACTGAAGGTGCATCAGCCTAAGCGATACCGTGTTTCCTTGGGCACTGCTAACACTCATAGTGCGATGGACAAAGTCCCAAGTGCCAAAACTGCGTCAGAACAGGAAGAGGTATGGCCCTCACAGAGATCTCAATAGCACGTGAGTAGGTCCGGCTGACAGTCAGGTAGACTGCCTAGTTGAAGACCCAGGGACTGGCTTACACCGCCCGCGCGACTACATGAAGTCCCTTGAGGCCCGTGTAGCTTATCTGGAAGGTCTCTTGCAACAGGTCCGGCCCGAAGTGGCCCTCGATCACTTCGGCCCTAACGAGGGTCACGATGCCGATCATTCAGCCCCGGCCCCTCCAGGCTCGGCAAGCCAACCTATGCCTATCATGCACATGCCAACGGCTTTCCCAAGCCTGCCTGAGCAGTCTTCTTTCGAGGACATGGACTTCTCCCGGACACTGCGTGCACCCTCAATAGATGCTGATGATCACCATGTCGACATGCTATCCTCGGAAGTTGCTTTGCTCTGTCTCAGCGCCGCTGGCAGGGAGCCTCACTACTTCGGGCCATCCTCCGCGGTCTCTTTCTCGCGAATTGTGAGCGCGACGATGGGTCTTGCCAGTAGAGGGGGTAGTTCGCAACATAGCCATGCGGGCCGAGCGAAAGGGCCTGGCTCTGAGGTGCCTCGCGAAGTTCCTTTGCGGCTGCCGTCGCCCACCTTGAGAGCCAATCTTTCTCAGGCTTACTTCGACAATATTCATCCTCAATACCCCTTTCTTCACAAGCCAACGTTCCAAATCTGGGAAGAGAGTTGTTTGAAAGCGAGTCTCGAAGGTGATCTCAGCAGCGTCAGCGGAGTTTCTTTGTTTTTCGTATTGATGGTGAGCTCTTCGGCAACACGTCGATTTCTCGTATGCTTACATCAACACTAGGTTTATGCGATTGGTTCTCTTGTACTTGGTCAAAGCCATTATGATGCTGCCGAGGCCTACTATTCTATGGCACTAGACCACATTGCAGCTGTTCTAGATCTCGATAGCCTCGAGTCAATACAGGCTATCCTGTCTTGTGCGGTGTACTCCATTAGGTCGCCAGTTGGCGTCAGCCTATGGTTCGTGGATGGACAGATTCCTGAGCTTTTGCATGAAGCTAACTTGGCTATTATTACTATAGGAAGGTTTCTGGTATGGCTATACGTCATTGCATCGAGCTTGGGTATCATCGAAGTGCAGAGAAATATCACAAAAACACGGACGCTCTTACGAAGGAAATGTCCAAGAGGTGCTTCTGGGTGGCCTATGATATCGACAGAGTTGTAGCTTTCATCCTTGGTCGGCCAGTTGGTATTCCTGATGACTCTATTGATGTTGAGGTAAGCCATAGACACACCACCAGCTCCATTGTACATCACAAGAGGTGTCTGACAAAATACTGCTCCAGCTTCCACTTGATATGGACGACGAAAACATTACATCGGGAGGTCTAATGGCCAATCCCCGCACAAACCCGACCGGTCCGCCAACACTAATGACGGGCTTCGTTCATGCCATCAAGCTTCGACGATTGTGGACAAAGATTAGCGACAATCTGTATCCTCCGTCGATACGGCGCTGCGGAAATCACTGTGGCCAGAGGGCAACCGTTGAAAGCCTTCGCCAAGAGTTAGATGAATGGCGCGTCAACACACCCGACCAGCTAGACTACTCCGTGTCTCATCCGCTATCTGTCTTCACGTCAAGATCATGGTTTCAGCTTGCCTATGATCACTCCATCCTCCTCCTGTATCGACACTACATGATGGCGCTGCCGGGTAGTCACACCCCTGCTAACTGCAATGACTCCACGAATGTTAATGATGTCGAAGCAACTGAGAGGGCCTTAGAAGAGTGTGCGGTTCGCGCGCGAGAGATGTGTCTTCTCTATCGTCGGGTATACCAGAGTTCTTCCGTTCAGTTCACCTGGGGAAGCCTTCATATTCTGTTCCTCGGTGGACTGACATATCTCTACTGCCTCTGGAGGTCGAAGCGCGTCCGGGACTCTATTCGACAGGCCGATGTCGTGACGACTTGCATGGCGTGTACGACTGTTCTTATCATCATTGCCGAACGGTGGAATCTGGCGACGTCATACCGCGATATCTTCGAGACACTGTCACAACGAACAATCACCATGGTCTGCAACGATGGGCATAAGCCTGGTCCCACATCACTACCAGCGATTGGTCCGGGACCAAGCATGGACAGTCATGTTCCAATGAGTGGCACCAGTCCCCCTGGCATGCAAGACTGGATCGATGACTTAGATCCCATGGCTATACCCCAAGAGTCGGAGTGGCTGGTACAGCAGCTCAACCTACTACAGGGGGTGAGGGAGTTCTGAGGAAGAGATTCGGATCGGTCATCCGGGCGATTGCCGCACACAATTTCATTATTTTTCTAGACCCGTTCGCCCTCGACATTTTCTCGCTCCACCTGTTGCTTCTCTTGAGACAAATGAAGTGCTAGGTTGATCAATCCAGCATCTCGTGCCTCCAAGTACCTCCTGCGAGTCGCTCTGGCAAAGAGAGGCGCATCAGCCCCCAGCAACATGTCCATGTCCTCCAGTGGAACACCTTTAGTCTCCGGAACAAACAGGAACGCAAAGACAAACGCAACCACCGTGCATGTCCCAAAGAGAAGAAAAGTCCCCCAGGTTATCTTGTTGATCGTATGTGGAAGGCTGTAGACCACAATGAACTGCGCCAGCCACTGTGCGCAAACCGCGATCATCATGCCCAGCGTCCGAGCCCGGTTGGGGAGCGCCTCGGAGGCGAAGATCCACGGAATTCCATTCCAGCTGAAGCCGTAGAAAATGACATAAATGTAAATCATAGCCAGGGCAGTGCGAGCCCCGGCATCCGCTGAAGCTGTACCTTCGAATGAGCCGGACAACGCGGAATAGCCAGCTAAGTGCAACATGGCCACCATTGCCACATCTTGACTATGCCGTAAACCCCAGTCGCCAGAAGGCCAACATCAGTACCGCTGAAACCGATTGAACACAAGATGGTTGAACTGAAGTAGTTGATGGTATTGATGCCAGTCAGGTTCTGAAGTACCATAAGAAGGGCCACAATGGACGCACGCCACCTGATACCAGGAACAAGAAGTTCTCGGAACACCTTCCACGTGGACTGTTCCCCGCCATTGGCCTCTGACTTAGATCTGCATGATCTCACGGCTGATATACTCGTGGTCTTCAGGCAGATTTCGAACCCATGACGGAGCCTTTCGTGCTTGAGCTTTTCTGTTGTTGGTAACCAGCCATCTTGGAGACTCTGAACAGAACATGGGCATGGTGATGAGAAGCAAGCCGGCAGGGACGAACTGCACGGCAACCGGCACGTGCCATTGCGTATTTCCCTGTGAAGAGATATTCTGCGCCACACCATAATTAACCCAAAACCCGAACACAAGTGCCATTTGCAGCATGATCTCGAAAATGCCAACAAGCCTCCCACGGATAAAGGCTGGTGAGCACTCGGCAATATAAACCGGGATCAATGTCGAAGAAGCTCCCATAACGAGGCCAGTCAAGGTTCGGCGGCCGTCTACCGACACAATTCTTAGCAGTGGAGACCTAGGCGAAGGCAAGTAGGCTATCTCACAAAGAAGACCAATCCTTTCAATCAATTGCAATACAATGTCAATGACGAAGACCAAGGCTGAGGCCAAGATGACGGGCTTCCGCCCAAATATTTCGGCGGAAAAGAAGCCAGCGATACACCCAAAGAAGGCGCCTGCTTGGAACGTTGAGACGATGTTGGAAGAAAGATTGGCTATTTGATCGGCCGAGCTACTTCCTAAGCCGAAGGCACTTTGGAAAGGCGGTAGACTGATCGTGCCACCGATGAAGGCTGAATCGTAGCCATACATTGCCGAAACCTGTGTACATATTCCTTAGTTGGTCTTCTTTTAACAATAATGTAGGCAGAAGCCATTATACCCATGACGCTGAAAAGGCCAGAAGATACGGCCGATATCCGTAGACCTCCTTTGGGGTGTTCGACCCAGGGTCATCTTGCAGCGAAAGGATGTTTCTAATTTTGCGCTTTGTAGCTTACAATAGTACAGCTTTTCTCAAGCACTGAGCGGAGTAGGTAGTGATAGCGTCAGCACATCGGCAAACCTGAGATTCCCTTATCCATTCATATTCAAAATCCTTCTACGACTTCTCACACCTGGCGCTTTGCAGTTCAAGAATGCCGAAACCGGTAGAGCAGCGGCAGTTGCGATGCCTACCACGAATCTGTGGGGAAACACTCATCCAATCTTCCTGTTCATCTGCGTATATCTCCATGGGGATAGCAAGGAAATTGCGGGGTTAGAACAATACCCCGTGGGGAGACACAGGGGCTTCAACTGTCGGCGACTTTGGCTTACGGTCAGAGGATTGCGAGAATGATTATTGGCTGATGCCTATCCTCAGTATTCCCAAGTCTCCAACACACTTCTGCTTCTGTTGCAGTTCGCACACCACAGCCCCTCCGCCGAGCACCGAGGGGTATCGGGGATATATCCCAGGTTTACAACCGACGCACTCCCCCAGCGCCGATCTCGCTCGTATCGCTTATAATACGAAAAGTTATGAATCGTTTGTAGAACCCCATCAAACATGAGACCGTTGGTACTCGGGATCTAATTTCCGTTCCTTCAGGACTTATATCCGTGAGGGGTTGGATTTCTTCGACGATGCGGAGAAGCACACCGCTTGAATTATTATCCTTGTTTCATTGTTTGATGGTACAGAGAGGGAGAGAAGGCCTTGTCTTGGACGAATTCTTGCTCTTGGAAAACCCCGCACCCAGACCGATAACAGATTCCTTCACTGTTACTGAGTGATTTGTATCGAGATTCAAGTACAGCATCTTCTCTAAGCCAGTGCCCAACATGGAGGAAAACGCAACCAAAGAAGCAGTAGCCACGCATCTCCCGTCGCAACGCCTGCTGGGAAAGGTTATGTTGGTGACTGGCGCAGGTGGCTCTATCGGATTGGAAGCTTCTGCGCGACTATTGCAGGAGGGTGCAAATCTTGGCCTCGTGGACATCAGCTCGGATGCCCTCGAGCGTGCTGTTTCACAGCTCAAAGTCAACAAATCCGGAGAAACCATCGATCATCGCATATTGACAGTCACGGCCGACGTTACTTCTGAGCAGGCTGTGAAGCAGTACACGACAACAATTGTCCGTCATTTTGGACGACTGGACTGCGCGTTCCTCAACGCCGGAGTGAGCTATACATCGACGAGTATTTTTGACACAACTGAAGAAACCTATGATCGGATCATGCAGATTAATGTCAAATCCGGTATGATTTCCATATCCCCACTGCATGATCATACATGTACCTTTCTGACAATAGCAGCATTCCTGGGCATCAAGTACGCCGCTCAAGCTATGAAGGACCTAGGCACTGGAGGAAGCATCATCTTGACATCATCAATAGCCGGTCTAAGAGGCACCCCCGGACTGATAGTTTACTCGGGGTCGAAATTCGCGCTGCGGGGGCTTGCTCTCACCGCAGCCTCGGAGTTGGGACCGCTGGGTATTCGTGTAAACACCATACATCCTAGCGGCATCAACACGCCAATGTTCAAGGCTTCGTGGAGCCCGGAAAAGATGGAGGAATTGAGAAAAGGAATGCCGCTGGGCAGATTCGCCGAGACCGATGATATCTCGGGTGTCGTGGCGTTCTTGGCTAGCGATGATTCCAAGTTTATGACTGGGGGCTTCTTGAAGATTGATGGGGGTTGCGTCAGCTTTTAGAGACGTGGTTACCAAGCTGTAGATATTAGTTCTTTGACTAGCAATTTCAATCTAGGGTCTCTCCCTTCTTTGATATCCATGGAAAGCATGAGTGCTGAAACAGACATTTATGATTGAATTGTCTCCATCCCTTTTCATTCTTGGCACAACACAGCTGAATGCACCTTCTCACACAACGCCTGCATGGAAGCCACTGCTCTCTCAGCCATAACCTCTGGACCATTTCCTTCCAACTCCGTCTCTTTTAGAAAGCCTTCCACGGAGAACCAACCATCCCATCCGTAGTCCACCGACCATGTTCTCATAATCTCAACCACAGGAAAGTATCCACGCTTTTCCAGAGGGAAAGGCCTAGCGCTCCGCGACCACGTCAAGCGTGCATCTTTAACCTCCAGGCAGTTAAACAAGGGGGAATCGTCTTGCGAGTTACAGGCGCGCAGGTCATCAGGAATAAAGGTGTATTATAGGAGTAACTATTTAGAAGGGTAGTCCGTATCGCAGGCTAATATCTATACGCGCGACTTATATAATACTATATATTATATAATAGGTAGTAAGACTATAACTTAGATTAAGGGTATTATAATATACCTCTTTAGATATTATAAATAACTAAAAAACCTATTCCTTATTACTATATACCTAAAACTTATCTAAATTTATTATATAGAACGTATAAAAATAGCTTTTAAAGTAATAAAGTAAATAGATAAATAAAATTAGTATTTATAGTTATAGTTATAAAATATAAGAGTACTTAATAGGGTTACTTAGTTATTAAAGTAGGTTATAAATATATTTAGAATTAATAAAATTTCCTAATATAGTTAGTATAAGCTATTAAGTATAAGTAGTAGAGGTAAATAAGACCTCTTATACCCTCTTATAATTAAATTTTTCTTCCTTAGACTACCTATAGTTTATAAAAGTAAGTTTTTAAAAATCTTAAATTACTTATTATAATACTTATATATTATTAAAATAATTATTAGATTAATTAATATAATTATTAGAACCTTTACTAATTATTTAATAAATAGAATTTATAATATCTATTTCTAAGAAGAAAGCTACTACTTATATATATAAGGTATATAAATATAAGAAGGTTACTATTAATATTACTACTACTACTACTAGTAACCTCCCCTCTATCTCTAATAATAATAATAATAATAAGGAACTTACTATACCCTCTAGCCCCCCTATACCTCCCCCCCCCTATCCCCCCTATCCTATTATTAAGGAGGTTAAGGATAAAGGTAAGTATAACACCTTATATATATACTATCTAGAACGTCTTAGTTATTAGAAGTATTATATTAATTATTTAGAAATAGCTCCCTAAGGACTTCTCTATTATAAGGTCCCTTATAAGGAGTGCCTTAGGTCTACCCTTATAAGTAAGACCTAGGGTTACTATTATAACCTTATACCTATAGCTGCTAGCGCCTCTAGCGCGAAGCGCTATAAGAAGAATTAGTGTGTGTTGTGCGCCTCTACCTCTTATGGCTATTAGAGCTAAGCTTTATCGTTAGGTTTAAGGGTTTTCGCGCGTGTTTAGGGCTTCAGCTTAGGATAACGTTCGCCTTTAGGCTTTTTAAACTTACTTTTAGGCTCTCGCAAGCTAAATTAGGCTTCCTAGCTATAGGGCCAAATATAGACTTTCTAGCTGCTATGCCGCCTTATTTCTTACTTATCTACATCTAGTACTAGTATTCTAAGTTAAACTTAAGGTCTACTATTTTCACTCTAACCTTTATTAGGAGTAGTATAAGTACTATTATCCCCCTCTAAAATATCTCTAACCTCCTTAGCTTATTTATAAGATTTATTATTAGATATATTTAGTATATTAGCTTCCCCTCTCTAGCTCCTAATTATAACTTAAGGTCTTAGAGTTTATTTAGAAGTAAGAAAACCTCTTAGAAGCTCCTTTTAGGTCTCTTTATATATTATAATATCTTATAACTATATAACTAAGGTCTCTTATTCTTTAAGAGTATCTTTTATTATATTATTAGCTTATTCCTATATATTTAGAAACTTAAATATTAAGTTTAAGAATAATTTAAACTTTAGTTCCTATTTAATAATATAATATATAATCTTAGTTAGTATTACTATATATTTATTCTCTTTTAAATAGAACTTTAACTTATTAAATTATATATTATATATTATAATTACTCTCTTAAGTATAAGTACTTAGATCTTATATAAGTTATATATATTATTAATATACTTAACTAGGTATTTAATATATCCCTATAGATATACCTTATAGTACTTTCTTCTTTATCCTTTTTTTTATTCCTTTTTAAGTAGGTATATATAATAACTATATATATATATTTATTTTTAGTATAACTAAAGGTCTCTCCTAATTATAGATATATAGAAAGAGGCTTATTACTAAAAGTATTAAGTATACTATTCTTCTTTAACTTAATTTAGTAACTTCTAATTAGTCTTTTACTATAGGGATTAGTTAAAAAGATAAATCCCTATAAGAGTTAATTTTAACTATATTTCTAGGGGAAGATTAGCCTCTTCTTATATCTTAATACTTCTTAAAATTACTTCCTAGTTAGTATACTCTAAACTATTTATTAGTTCCTTTATATCTATTAGGGGTGTCTTAAGTATAATTTTATTATTTTTTACTTAGTATTAATAGTATATATTACTATTAATAGTAATTATAGCTATTTTATTATCTTAGTAGATAATATAAATTACTAATTTATATTACCTTTTAACTTATTATTTAAAGTAGAAGAGTACTATAAAGACTTCTTTAAGTAAGTAGTATATTAGAGGGAACCCTTATAACTTACTTAAGTATTTATCCTTAATAATTAGAATATAAAAAGCTTCTGAGATTACTTTAAAAGAGTAATAGAAGATATCCTAAAAGATATAATAATATAGATAAATCGCTTTATTTTCTAATTTTAAATATAAAATAACCTTCTTTATATAAGTTCTAATATATATTTTATATTATATCTATATTAAGCTATATATCTTTACCCTCTAAATATTTTTAACTATATATTTAAGAGCCTTAAGGTCTAAATAGCTAGAACGAAAATACTATAAGTATATATTATCTAACTAATCTCTATAATAGTTATATATATCTTATCTATAAGGGGCTTTTACTAGCTAAGTTATAGTAATAATATATATAAAACTTATTAGTATACTTTTAAGAGGGTATAAAGAAAGGAGGTTATATTTAAAGAAAACTAAATTATACTTTTAGATTAATATAGTAATAACTATACTTTAAATAAGGTTTCTTATATATAAAGTATAGTTAAGTCTATAAAATTAGATCTTCTATATATTAAGTTAACTTTTAGATATAATATTAATATAAAAACCTTTAATATAAGTAATATCCTTAAATATAAAGTTATTTAATACCTATCTATCTTAGTTTTTAAAAATCTCTTTAAGAATATAAGTTTCTTAGTTTAAAACTAAAATCTAAGTTATACTTATTTCTATAATATCTTCTAAGTTAGACTTTATATAGGAGTTATTTAGTAATAGTAATTTATTATTAACTAAGTATATAGTATTATAATTATTATAGATTATACTATATAAAAAGATATATAGTAAGGTAGAGGTATTAAGTAAGTATATCTCTAGTATAAATACTTTAAGAAGGTTTTATAAATTAATTACTATAGTTATAATATTAGATAGAACTTTAGTATTTAACCTCTAACTAGATCTATTATTCTAACTACTTCTTCTCTTATAGTTTCTATACTACTAGCCCCTTCTATTATATAAGTTACCTCTTCTATAGTTAGTATTACTTATTTAGTTTAAAATCTATCCTTTATATATAATTATAGTTTTAATATTTATCTATTTACCTTAATTAAGCTTAAAAAAGATTTCCTAAGTTTTATTATTATCTATAGAGATTTAATAGAATTTATAGGACTTTTTATAAGTATACTTTAGGTATTTATAAGCTTTAAAAGTTTAGAGATACTCTTCTCTATATAAGTAGCTATTAAGATATATATTAGAGGGGTTATTAGACCTCCTTCTTAAAATAATAAATAGTATATTTAATCTCTAAGACCTCTTAATAAGTAAGTATTTATAAACTAAAACTAAGAAGATAATCCTATACTACTCTAGAGTATATATTAAAAACCTTAAACTAATATTTATAATAAACTATATAAATTTAGTATAAATTTAATTTAGAGTAAGTTAGTATCTAACTATTTTAAAAAAGGTTTATAATATAAGTTCTTCTTAGATCTCTAAGATATTAAGTCTCTTTATTTCTATATAGTAATAATACTACTCTATATACTAAGTAGAGGGGTTAATATTTAAATTAGCTTTTTTAAGTAAATAAAGATAGTTTTTATAAATTATATTAATAACTATAAATATAATAAATATAAGTTATCTCTTAATTTTATATATAAATACTTATAAAGTTACTCCTAACTAAGTCTTATTATTTAGAATAGCTAATTTAGTATTAATTAGAATAAGGTTTAAAACTATCTTATTAACTTATATTTAGAAGTTAAAGTAATATATTAAGAAGGTTTATTAATCTAAAGAAGTTACTATATAATCCTTAACTACTATATTATATTCTAACTTAATATCTTTATAAATAGTAATCTAAGGTATTTATAGAGACTTTAAGAGGGAGAATAATCCCCCTAACCTATTAGGAATAATACTTATTTCCTCCTTATTTCTCTAGGTTTCTATAATTAAATAAGTATTTTTTAATATACTCTTAGTAGTCTCTATTAAATATTTAGTCTCTTCTAGATATTACTTTATTTACTTATTATATTCCTCTTAGTATTTTATATTTAGGAAGGTTTAATACTTAGTAATAAATTTAGAGATCTTTAGAGCTATAGTTACTTATAAAGGGTTAGTATAATTATCTATATTTAGGTTAATATAGTCCTAAAAGCCTCTTAAGTATATATAGAACTTAAAATAAGTATACTATATAGGCTAGTTACTTCTTAATATAAGAATATCTCTTATAAGGGGAATTTCGTTATTAGTAGAGGATATAATAGATAAGGATAATAAAGGAATTAATAAAAAGGATAGGAATAGGTTTCTTACGTATAACTTATAGTAGAGGGGTGATTTAAGCTGTTGATAGAGCTAGGCTTATAACTCTTACAAAAGTGGAACCATAATTGCTAAGCAGCAATTGCGCCTTATCCTTTGCAACACACCCCCTAGATCTTAGAGACTTGTCTACTAGATCTACGATCGTCTCTACTAAGGGTGAAAAAATCCCCTCTGGGTACGCTGGAGTTGGGATTTGAACGCGGGTCTTTGCTGCTCAAAAACAACACGATAACTGGCAGAGTCACTGGGCTCATAACTCTTGCGAGTTACGGGCGCGCAGGTCATCAGGAATAAAGGTGTATTGTAGGAGTAACTATTCGGAAGGGTGGTCCGCATCGCGGGCTAATATCCACACGCGCGGCTTACGTAATACCGCACGTCACGTGACAGGCGGTGAGGCTGCGGCTCAGATTGAGGGTATCGCAACAAATCGTCTGTTAAAGGAGGGTCGAACCGAGAGCCATCCGACAGTTGCAAACAGCGTAAATGATCCTTGGGAGCTTGTTTGAGGAATTGCGCCATTGACTCGGCGATTTCTGTCTCGCCGTTTGGAAGTTGACCACTATGAGCATAGGGGTCGCCCCACAGACGACTTTGGATGTGGAAAGAGTCGAGGCAGAGTTTGAAGTTGGGTCTGCCAACACTTTTGACAACACGGAGACCATCTTTCCATGTGTCGTGAAAGGCGGCGAAGGCGACTGGTTCGTAGGCGATGCTGACGCGACTCTGGGCTGCAAGGTCAGCCAAAGCTTGCAACTCTGGTATGATCACATCGTCATCGTTTGTCGAATGCTGGAGAAACTGCGATGGCACTTGGACGAACTTTGCACCGGCTGCGACAGCAAGGTTGATCCAGTCGCTGGCAACGTGTAGTCGTTCTTCCAACGGTGTACTGAGGTTTCCTTCGAAATTCTTCAGAGGATTCAGGCTGAGAATCTCAAGGTTCCGCGATGTGCAGAGATTCTTGATCTGTTCTGCAGATTCCAGAGGAGAAAGACCATTTGACGTGGCATGGTGGAGGAGGTCGGCATGCACGAGCCCTATGCCTGAGAATCCGTAGCTGGCAGCGGCTTCTATCTTTCGCTCAAGTGTATGCGATGGATGCTTGCCAAGAGACACCGTGGCTATCGCCCATTTGTTGCGAAAAAGAAGCATCAACATCGCTTTTGTGTGGGTTTGATAACCTGAGGATTCATACTAGGTAGTGTTTTGCCTTCGAGCCAGCCCTCGTTACATCCTTTTGATATACCGGCAACGTGCCTTGCTCTAGCTCGAGATCACCGTGCCGGGAAAATTTACACCCGCTATGCCACGTCATCCATCATGAGGATCGTCTCTGCGTCTCGGTTTGACATGTACGATGTGTCTAGAATCCTTCTGCATGCATTGTCGAGGAGATGCTCGGGAATGCGCACATAAGGGCAAGTGGGGCTCATCCGAGTTCTGCCAACTGCATCACCATCCATTCGCTACAATCGAAACCGGGAGTGTCGGTTGTAGTTGTGATAGGCTGCTCCCACCTTCCGGTAGTTATCGCATGCTATATGGACATGCTGGTTTGAGCCCCAGGAAGAGCAAAAGAAACATTGAAAACAAGTCATTTGATATGAGCTGACTACTAATGAAGAGAATGACTAAGAGTGCGCCAATGCTCGGCTTTCCTAATGAAATAGTGCACTTCACCTACAAAAATCTAGAAACGTCTTCTAGGCTGAGACCCAACTCTTCGGCGCACCTCTTCAAACTACTGCGCTGCGCCTGAGCATATAGTTCATTTGAATCCAATACCTGACACTTCAAAGCCTTCTCGTAGCCCTGTAAGTCTGGTTTTGCCGCGTCCTCCTGATCCATGGCCGAGTCGCTAGTGTTTGTGCTGGATTGAAGATTGGATTGAAAGATGCCAGCGGCCGAGAATGGAAGAAAGTCTTCATAGGTAATTGGAAGAGCCTCCAGTACCCCAGAAGAGACGAGCTGGTCAAGTGAAGAGGTTGGGTCGACAATCTCAAGGCTCGGGATACCAGCTAGCTTTTCCCGAGCACCCTCGGCGCATTTATACTCCGAGTAAACAAGGCCCCGACGACGCAACTCGTTCCAATCATCAGGGAACTTCTCGAAAGTCTCCTTGAAATCTTGGTCTACGGCAGATGGTTCAACCTTGCCACTTCTTTGTGCCGTCGCCATGGCCTCATCAAGAAGCTCATCATACAGTTTCCTACCCGCAGGTGTGACAGCAGCGCCTCTCTCTTCAATCTCACCAAACCTTGCTTTGTGGAATCCGTTGACGAACTCGTCTCGACCTGAGATAGCGAAACGGATCCCCTCCTGCAGTGCTAGAAAGCTAGTTTGCCTCAAGAGAATGGGGCATTTCCTTGGTGGTGGACCCTCAATCCGGCTCTTTACCGTCATGCCAGCTGCAAGCATTGCCTCTTGGGCAGCGGCAATATCGAGGGCGCGAGGCGTAAGGTGGTTGATATGTGATGACCGGAAGCAGGCAATATCCGCCAGAATTGGGTGTTCATCACGAAGAAGAGCGTATTCCTCGTGCGTCGCTGCAGCTAGAGGTTGCCAGCTGAATGTGCGGAGGGCTTCGATGACGAAACGCTCTCCCTGTTCAGGGGTCAGGCGACCTTCTTGCGTGGACTCAGCAATATCGAGGAGGTTAATGAGGTCGTCGCTAAAGATGTTTCGTCTCTTAAGAAGGTCCAGTGCTACGCCCCGTGCAGCACCAGACTTCAGAAGCTCCGGGCGAAGGAGTGTCGTGAAAACGCGGAATGGATTGCGCTCCAACGACTCGGGCGATATTGGACGGAAGCATGTGGCATGCATCGGCAGTCCCGCAACAGACAGGTCATAGTAGCCGACCGCGTGCATGCCGAGGAGGTTGAATATCCGGCGGACGGTGTGTAGTTCTTCGGGTGTTCCAAGGCGAATGGCACCATGTCTCTCAAGTGTAAGACGGTCGATACTGGCGTCCATCGTTGCGGAGCCTTCGAGGCCCTCAAGCTTTCTGGCCTGTGCATCTCTGTTGACTTTCTGGACGATCTGGATGAGGTCGCCATAGAGGGGAACTTCGGCCTTGTACATAGTAGACATTGCGAGGGCAAAGGTGGTGCGGAGTGTATCGGCGTCGACGTAGGCAACATCCGGCCCCGGCTGTCCCGGAGGCACGGCACGGGATGCGGAGAGCAGACCGGCAGACATGACTAGATGCGGCAGGCTTCTCTTAGAGGAATTATTGGCGTATGTGTAATTTCGTTGTTTCTCGGGCCCAACATAAAGCAAATATTATCGTCGATAAGTTAGACATGATCCTGATAAGATGGTTGCTCCTTTTGTTTCCTTATAAGATCCAACAAAGCTTCAGAGCGCAGTCATCCCATGTTTCTTGCATCGCTCCCGGTCATACGATCAGTTCGGAAGGTGTCAACAAGTTTCACATGACGCTCATGGTTCCTCCCGAGCCTTGAGCCGACTGAACCCACATCAACACTCACTGCCTCTTTCACATCAGCTGGAAGCCGGCTTCCGAGTTGCGCCGTCACCGAGGTCATCGCGGACACCTACCAATCCCTTCACCGGGTGCTGCCGATAAGCCCAAAGCAGGATTACGTTGATATGGAGGTGCGGGGCTTCTCCGTCCCGGACATGGATAAGGCGTTGTGAGGGGGGCGTGCAGCCAGGAATGACGGTTAGTGGCGGCGGCGGCGGGTCGGGGGTTTCCGAGGATGGCGACATCTATTTGCTTATCCGTGGCATCCACCACATGGGTTCGATTGTGCGGAGTAGACATCATTCAGCAGCACATCGTCTGCATTTCACAATTGAGGCTTGAACGGTTTCAATAAGTCGGACCTCAAGAAAACAGACACAAGGCCAGGCTCTCTGAAGCAAATCTGACCCTGTCCTCGTTCTCTCATTCCACACAAAATGTCGCCCAGCGCAACGGAACCTACTCCCGCCCCGGCCCCCGCACCGGCACCGGCCTCGGCGCTGGACTCGGGAAAGTCGACCGGGAAGGTGAAGAGACTCCATCAGATCCCCGTACCAGAGTCGAAAGAGGCCGCACGTCAATGGCAGCTGGAACAGATGGCCGCTGCCTTCCGCATTTTTGCGAAGCTGGGCTTCTCGGACGGTAGCAGTGGGCATATCAGTCTCAGAGGTATGTGTGTCCAGGAAAACACGAGCCTTCGTCGACTAACACGTTAGCGAAGACCCCGTAAGGCCAGAGACGTTCTGGATCAATCCGTACGGGGTGCATTTCGGCGTTCTCAAGGTGTCGGACATGGTCCACATTGATGAGGACGGCAACCGTCTCGGCGGCGCCGATAAGCCCGTGAACACGGCCGGCTTCATGATCCACTCGGCCCTGCACAAGAGGCGACCGGACATCAACGCTGCCTGCCACATGCACAGCCCCTATGGCCGGGCATGGAGCACTTTCGGCAGACCAATCGAGATGCTGAATCAAGGTCAGGACTCAAGCCATCCTCTACCTCGCCGCTTGCTAATCTCTTTGTCAAGACTCATGCATGTTCTATAACGATCTCTCCGTGTACCCCTCTTTCGGTGGTGTCGTACTCGCCAAGGAAGAAGGTCAACGTATCGCCGACAACCTTGGCCCCACGAACAAGAACCTCATCCTCCAGAACCATGGTCTGCTTACTTGTGGTGGCACGATCGCTGAGGCCGCTGCGTTCTTCATCGCTCTTGAGCGCGCCTGTCAATCGCAGCTTCTGATTGAGTCCGCCATTGCGCCGGGAAGCAATGGTGCTGCAAGTGGTCTGAAGAAGACTTTGGTTGATGATGAGGAGGCCCAGTACACCAAGGACGGTACCGGCACACCTGAAGTCATGTACATGCAGTTCGTTCCGGAGTACCAATTGATCTTGAAGGAGTCTGGCGGCGACTTCCTGTTGTAAATACCCCTATTCAGATACAAACACAAGCTTCATGATACAACCATCCATTCGTTTCGTGTGGCGAGGGGCAGGCAGTGGCCATGATCTGATGTTGACTTCGTATTTCTGAATGCCAAGACGTAATATGAAGCGTTCGCTGAGTGGCAACCTCAAGTTGTCTTTGATTCGTTGTCTAACGTACTTCAAAAGTCACTGCGGCAATAGTATGAGACTCACGAATACTTGTTGCCCTATATATATTCCTAGATAATGAAGTACCTCGGTCTATGAGGATGGACAATAAAAACCTAATTCATACCACCCAACCCGGCGGTGTCTGTCGTACCAAACCCGAATAAAACCATCTTCCCATAGTATATACGTCGTACACTGGTATCTTCCCTCCAAGTCCAGCATGAATTGCTTTGGATGATGGTGGCATGTTTGTGCACTCTAACACCACAGCCCTTATTTCTGGTCGACTCTTGACCAATTCCTTCGCAGTAGCCACCAACTCCGCCTCAATATCGGCATGGACGTAAGGGGCACCGTTCTCCCTAATAATGTTTCGCAGATGACCACCTGGAGGAACTCCACGAACTATTACTCTCGACATCCAAGAATCCGGTACAAAACTGGCTAAATGCTTCGGCCCAAGCTTCGTCTCATCGTATGTTAGAACGCCAACACAGCTATCTGGCGGCAACAGAGCCAAGACTGAGGGCAGTTGTGCCAGAGACGAGGTTGCTATTGGAATGGGCAACCTTGCAGCGAGACTTGAGTTATCGTTAGCATTGAAACCCTCCAACTCAATCGGGGTTCACAAAACTCACTCGGCTTGCGCCATGGCCAAGAAGCCACAGCTGGTGATGATCCCCACACACCCCCGCGCCGCCAACCGAAGACCCGCGTCGACAAATCGGTCAATGAAGGCAGAGTCGTATTGATCAGAACTGACAACCTGCGACACTTTGGACCCTTCAGCCATCTCACGAATCAGTGGGAACGGCCACGTCTTCTCATTGTATGGATCGCCCGGGGGACGGTGGATGTCTAGGTCGATAGAGATGAAGCCCAACGGAGGGAGAGCATCCGGCTCCGCAAACTCGGCCATGTCGAAATGATTTCAGTCGCGGGATGTTCAGCCATCAATGTTGCAGAGTCTCGCAAAGTGCCGTCGTTGTAGTCTTTGGGCATCCAACTCGCAGCACGGCAGCTGTCGCTTCAATTGCAGTTATGGCCCCCCGCAAAGTCCCACTCAAT